GTATTTTTGTTGGGGCACAGATTCCAAATATTTTGAAAGATACACAGTTTGAAAACACTTTAACAGGTATTGAAAAAACTGCTTGGAAGGATTTCCGTCTGGTGGTCACTAATTTCTTGGGAAACAGAAAAGCTGACAACTATAAAACCCTTGTCAAAAATATGCTGCCATCGTATCAAAAGATGGGCTGTAATATGTCTCTTAAGATACATTTCCTACACTCACACTTGGACTTTTTTCCTGACAATTGTGGATATTTCAACAATGGAAAAAAGGTACCAGGGAAAGTGGAATCCTTCCATGCTTGCAGACTACTGTTGGACTCTTGATAGAGATGCTCCAGAAGCGATCCATAAAAGAACAGAAAAAAGACAGCGCATATAGTGATCCTTGTAAATATATGAATCTTGTTACTTTTTTTAATATATCCTTAAAAATAAAAAGTTTTTTTTCTAAACCGCAACTAATTTTTTATTTCATTGTCATTTTTAGATTTAGCGCCCCAAAATTAACAAAGAAGTGCACTTTTCCCACAAGATACAATTAAAAACTAAAATTTGTTGTCCAGTGTTATGTAAGTGAACTAGCCTTCTTAAGACTAACCTGAACAACACCGCTCCGGAAAGTCTCAAATACGACGGGATGTGCAAGCTCAAATAGCCTGTAAACAGAATTGGAAGCGAGGTGGAAGGTGCAACAACTTGTGGAACTGTCTTGCCAATACGTATAAACTTAGATAAGAGCGAATGCGTGTAATCTCTGGTGGTAATCTTCGGTGCACCGGCAACTATATCAATTTGCCGTGCACCTAGTTACGTGTAAATCGGTTATACATGCACCGATGCCATCACTTAGTTAATTCGGAAACTTGCTAATGGGAAAGTGCGATGTTGGCGTGATAAGCTGGAGCTCAGAAAAATGTATCGAAATAATAATAAACGACTTTTTACGTCACATTACAAAAAGAAGAAAAAGTGAAGAACAGTGTCTGTTTACGTTGTTTTTCTGCCCGAGCTAAAGGCACAATGGAAAAGTACATATATTTGCTACAGTATATTCAGATAAGAGATAGACCGGATGTAAACAAAAGGTTCGGGTGATTTTCACGCTAACGCCGCCGTCTCGACGTAAAACAGGAGCCCTCATTGGTCAATTCGCAATTAAATGCCTATGCCGAGCGGCAGAGCAGTCGTATCAAGGCAGAGTCACATTCAGGTTCAGACGTGTTACGTATGTCGTGTGCATCATTGCAATTTGATATTTCTTTGGACGTTTTCGTTTGTTATCTTATTAAGTTGTTGAGTTTGTCGTTGTTATCGTTATATCTTGTTATTGATTGTTATTGTTATCAACTGCTTGCGCAAAATGCCCAGTAGTACAGATACTGCCATGAAGTTGTAAACTCCTGTAGTCCTCCTAGGAAACGCTCTAAAAAAAGACACCTGAGTGCAGAAATGAAAGAGGTCATTTTGAATATATATAAGATCGAGCGCGAGGAGAACGAGGCATCAACCATCAAAGAAATTGTTGTGAAGGTTTGTCACAAAGTTGGGGTGTGTCGCGAATCAGTGATTAATGTGTTAAGACAATACAAAAAAAATCACACCTTTTTTGAGCCAATGACCAGTAAACATCGCAAAAGTATTGTTAAATCATTGGATGAAGCTGATAAGCATGCGATTAGGAGGAAAGTGCATGAATTCTTCTTTAGGAATGAAATACCTGCTATAGATAAAGTACTGCAGGAGGTAAATGGAGATACAACGTTGCCAAATTTCAAACAATCAACTTTCCATGCGTTACTGAAGCGTTTAAATTTCTAATGGAAAAAACGGGGTCGTAATAGTTTACTACTGGATAGAGAAGAAATTGTGCTATGGAGGAGGGATTATTTAACAAAAATTGGGAAATATAGAAATCAAAACAGGAAGATTTATTACCTTGATGAAACGTGGGTAAACGCAGGACACACTACAAGTAAAGTATGGGTTGATGATTCTGTAACTTCATCCAGGAGGGCCTTTCTAGATGGACTGTCCACCGGATTAAAAAATCCAGCAGGTAAATACGAGTAATAGACAACAATCGGATGTTTTTCAAACCTTGGGAACAAGGTTCTAAACATTAATTCCAGGGGGCAGATAAAACATATTACAAGTAACAAAACTTTTATAACTTTCGATAAAATGCGTGGATGTTTTATTGTCATTTTCATTTGTTAGAACTTTTTTAAGCCATGTTTTTATGTGTTTTCGATATTTCAATAATTTTTTAATATAATCTTAAAATATGTCGAATATTATAAACTTAAAAAAGTTATTAAGTTTTATATTGTGTACCGTTCCTAATATTTCTAATCATTTTAATTCATACTTTAAGCTTTATAAAGTTATAATTTGTTAATATTAATATTTGCGCGTATTTCAGGTTCCTGATCATTCATTCTTTAAAGGTTTATAACTTTAAATTAAATTGTGAAGCGCTGAGTAATCATACGACGTTCAATATTCTTTCTTTCAATATGACTAAATAATCCCAATTATAGCAATCTGATACTCATGTCTCAATGTTTTTTCGCTGAATGTGATGGAAACATTTGAAAAAGCTTCGCTTATTGAAATAAATCTACACCAGTGAGTACTTCGATTTCCAGGTAAAGGGAAAAGGCTCATTATCTGCCATATTGGCAGTGAGGATGGATTTGTTGTTGACGGTCTGTGGTGCTTTGAGTCTAAGAAAACTGGAGATTACCACGAGGAAATGAATGGCGAATCGTTTGAACAGTGGTTTTCAAAAATTTTACCGAACTTAGAGGAAAACGCAGTAATTGTGTTGGATAATGCGCCTTATCATTCTCGAAGAATGGAGAAGGTCCCAACAACGGCTTCAAGGAAAGTTGATGTTCAAAATTGGCTCCGCTCGAAAAATATCAACTTTGAAGAAGCAATGCTGAAAGTACAATTATTAAGAATTGTCAAGGATCACAAGGCGGAATATCAAAAATACGCCATTGACGAAATGGCAGCAAGTCAAAATAAAACTGTGCTCCGTTTACCTCCATACCATTGCGAGCTCAATCCCATTGAGCTCATATGGGCAGAGGTTAAAAATTATATAGCTAAGCACAATACAACTTTTAAATTTTGTGTCCTCAAAGGACTTTTCAAAGAAGCACTAGAATTAATAACAGCGCAAAAATGGGAAAACTGTATTAAGCACGTGAAAGACAAAGTTGAAAAGAGAATGTGGGAACTGGACAATATTTTAGAGGAACAAGTCGAGCCATTCATTATTGACGTTGGTGCTTCAGGCAGTAGCGATGATGAAAGCTCATCAAGCTCATCTTTCCAATAAAAGATGTCGTTCATCAAATTCGGTAAGTTATAAGTAATTATGAAGCTACTGTATTTTTTAATTAATTATTGACATTTTTGAACCCATTTTGGCAAAACCTATTCAAGAATCTACTTTCTGACAATGTTCAACCATGCACATTTTTTTACGTTTTGAACGTTTTAATTTGGTTACATATTTACCTAGAAATCAAAAAATATACTAATCAATATTCTAAAAGCAATTTTAAGAGATATACGATTATTTTTAATTTAGGCTAATTTAAACGCCATTTTGAGATTATATTCGACTGTATTTCACCAAACATCAGGCGGCATCCGAAGCTGGAAATCGAAGCGAAAATTTTGAAACCCTTATGTATATTTACATCATTATATATTTCTTACCCCACCCCCACATGATCCTATATCCATCACCAATCGTATACACATCGAATTGTGCTAATTTACTACAAAGTTACGCTAAGCAGCATCTACTATCTAAAATATGTACTGCGTGACTCTTAATACGTCCCTGCCGAATGTTACAGCGTTCGATGATCACGTGGTCTTGTTTATGTCCGATCTATCTCTTATCTGAATATACTGTAGATAACGTCGATTACCGAAAAAGAAAAGCATAACGTATTCCACTCCACAGAGAAAGAAAACAATTAATTACCGGTAGAGATGCGTTAAGTTAAATTCCAGTCATCCAGTTGCTTTAACGTCATCTTTAACCTTTTTTTAAAGTGGCTTAGGCTGGAGTCTTCACACTCAGTTGACAAGCAGTTATATATACTAAATGACACAAAAAGTGGAACTGTAACTGAACTAACCCTGTATATTACTCAATAAACTAGTTGTGATGGCCGGAAAACAGCTGTTTTAGGATAAACAATTAGAAATTCTCAAAAACTACTTGATCAATCCACTCCAATTTTATTGTGGTTATTTAGAAGTACGAATCTGAAGAATTTCAAATACCTGGGAGAAACCATCGTCGCATTAAAATATAAAATAAATACCCAAAAATCTTATACAGGGTGGCGCATCGAAAACGAAACAGACGTATTTACTGGCAACTAAGTTTTTTTTAACACGTGGTTTTTTGCCAAACTTGTGCCCCCTCGAAAACAAAATCGACGAGTCTGAGCGTTTTTCAAAAAAAAACTGAGCTGCCAGTAAATGCGTCTGTTTAGTTTTCGATGCGTCACCGTGTATAAAAAGCGTTTTCGTTGTTGTCAACACTGTCGACTGATTCCCAGAAAGCACGTTTTCTCATTATTGGTTGTCGAATAAAATGTTTTTTTGCGTCCATGTCTTGAATATAGTCGAAATCACGAAAGATGACGATTACGTCATCATTTTATTCTGTAGTAAAGATAAACGACAGCCATTTGTGAATATTTTTAAATGAAGGTTCAGATGTGTTAGACAGAGACAAACAAAATTTTATTGTCTAAACAAGTAGAATGGCTGAATTGCATGTATCCGACAAAGACAGACGATTCTTGCATGTTTCGTGATCGATCACATTTGAAAGATGACAAGTGAGGTTATGTCATGTCAGCGTGTTGACAGTTCGTTGCAGGTTAGGTTGTTTTCGAACAATACTTTGGTCGTTGGTGTTCCTGTCTTGAGATGTATTCTGTTGTGTGTATAACTGTTTTTTTCAAAACAAAAACTCCTCATAAAAATTATTATTAAGGTAGAAACTAAATAATTTCCAACATAAGAGCATCATTTAAGACTTTAATTCTAGTTTTCGCTACGAAAGGCAAAACTCTTAGCTCTCAATCACAGGGCTTGGTACTATCCTTGCTGAATTATTTTCAACAAGAAAAGGATAATGGAGGGCCTCTATTACCATTGTTAGCTGTCCAAGAGGTTTGTAATAGTTAGAAATATGGTCATATGATTGACAATTTATTCTATATTATTTTTCAGAGGGTTTCTCAGGCACTAAGTATCAGTTTGTCCACTATTACCAGAATACAGCGCCGTTTATCATCTAATGATAATGTCCTAAGATCACCTGGAAAGAAGAGACCCAGAAAAAAGTCTAAGACAACAGATTTATCTGATGCAGTCAGGCGTAATATACGAGATACAGTGTATCAAATGTATAGTGAAAGTAATGATAATGAGCGTGAGATGGTACATTCCAAATTATTGATTTTTTGTTTTGTTTCAGAGAAACATGTCACAATAGCAAATTTGAATAAAGCGCTTAAAGAGAAAGAGCTTGCTTCTATCAGCAATAGCTCTTTACAAAGAGTGCTGCCCACCATAGGCTTTAAATATAAAAAAGATGGTAATAGAAGATTTCTAGTTGAGCAATCCAGTATTGCTTTACTTCGCACCAAATTTTTTGAGAAGTTATAATGACTATGTGAACAGTGCCTCGCATCAAATTGTTTTCATGGATGAAACATGGATATTTTCAAAAGGCAGTCCAAAAAAGTCTCGGCAAGATGAGTCAATAAAAAGTGTAAGGAGACCATTGGGCTTTCAAGGAAAGCGATTTATTGTTGTCCATGCAGGGAGCGAAAAAGGATTTGTTGATGTAGCAAGTCTGTTATTTTCCTCACAGTCTAAATCTGCAGACTACCATGATGATATGAACGGCGAGACATTCATTAAGTGGTTAAAAGAAAAACTCCTCTGCAACTTGGAAGAGCCGTCAGTGATAATTATGGATAATGCATCCTATCATAGCATTTTATTGGAAAAGACTCCAAACACAAGTTCTCCAAAAAGAGATTATTGACTGGCTGGTTAAAAATGAAATTGTGTTCCAACCAACATTAACTAAAGTGGAGTTATTGAATATAGTGAAAAGAAATCGTAAGGCAAAGAAGTATTTAATAGATGAAATCATAAGAAGTTATGGACATGAAGTTCTTCGTACCCCCCCGTACCAGTGTGAATTTAATGCCATCGAGTTAATATGGGCCAATGCTAAGCAGTATTATGATAGACATATTGGAAGATGTGGTCATAGTGATGAAAATGTTTTAGCTATGTGGAATGAAGCTCTGTCACAAATTACACCAGAGGTTTGGAAAAAATGTGTGAAGCATACCCATGACGTAATTTTAGAGTGGTACAACAAAACTATTACTCGTGAAATAGAACCACTGATAATCTCATTTGATTCAGATAGCGATACTGAATCTGACAGTAGCGATTAATTTTTAATCTGAATTTGATCATAAGTAATGGAAGAACATATTGAAATGTACAGTTTATTTTATTTGATATATGTTTTATATAATTTTGTAGCTTATGCTAAAATGGATAGTGGATGGCATGACATGAAATAGTACAAAAATATTTTCTCCTTGGTATGCTTATTTGTGTTTGTATTTTTTTTTATAAAATAAAACCATGTTCTCGAAATCAATTGGTCGTTTTAATGTAGCTGATACCAATGTATTATTATGATTTTGGTAAGAACTCTAGGGACTCAACAATATTAGATGAAAAATAGGTTCAAAATACGTACTATTATTGTAAACAGAGGAAATGCTGTTTTTTTTTAATAAATATGTAATTTTATTGCAAATAGAAGTCTTAAAATGTAAATTTGTGCACGGATAATGATAATTTAAAATCATGAAATAGAATAAATAAAAATAATCACTGAAATCAGCTAACTTCGATCACATGTTCCTGACATCGTAACCTTATCATCGACGTACGTTCGGTAATTATTTCGTTACAATTTATGGTATGACGTAATCGTCATCTTTCGTGATTTCGACTATACCACCTTGAACAGCTTGCATCAATAAAACGAGGCTTTACGATTATTCCGCAAACCAGGGGTATTTTCGTCTAATATGATTTGACTATTTAGCAGGATTAGGGATTCGCAAAGGTTTAAGTTCTGAATAAAATAAATCACTCGAAGTTTAAAGACGAAAGACAGACACTTTTGATTTTCAATTGCTTTGTGAAGCGCAGAACAAAAGTCATACGTGCATCTAACAGTGGGTTGCTGTGCGATACCGGCCATAATATTCCCAGAGAGCTATATTCATAACTCCCATAAAAACACATCTCCATTAGCAACTTGAGTCTGGTACCATGTTCAAAAGACGTAGAAGCGACATTAGTAAAACTACCCCTACTGTTCGCCTGTAATTTCCGTCAGACCTGGTTTAACGTATTCATAAAGTTTCTATGCCCATCAATGCAGTTACGCTGTAAATGGCTGCCTTGTAAGCACAGCTCTTGCCTTTGTTTTGAGCCTCCAACACCTCTAACAAGGCGTGCGCACCTTAGAGCAATCTAATTGATACATTAAACTCATACGCCTTGCATGCGATTCGATTCATGCAAACACTGTACGGTGGCGGAACATCAGTGGCGACTCGTCGGAAGAGAATCATCCTTTAAACATAATATCAGATAAAGAATGCACACGTCGTGTGGTAAAAAAATAACAGACTTTATTGCAGGAAAGAAGAGTAGTTACAAGTATTGAACAAAATCTGTCTGTGCCTCGATATAATTCTAATCTTTATAGGAAAAGTAACAGAACTGTATCGAAAAAAAAGAAGTAAAAAGTAAATATTTCTTAATGGGCTTGCTTGCCATACAATTCAATTTGTTGGAATAATGGGCTTGTACCGCATAGTTATGTTACCAACAGGATTCCATAACTCCTCCCTCCTACGAAAAGTTGGTCTCCAACATAGAGAAAATTCAATGTACAGTTACAATATGGTTCCAAAGCTGTAAGAGTCGTAAGAAAGGTTTTGCAACTTAGTATGAACTATTATTTCCAAATGATTTTGGTAACAAGAAGGATTTAAAGAGCTAAAATTACTTTCAAGTAAAGGCAATGATAATTCAATCTGCTTGCAGTCTTTAATATCAATTGAAATATTAGTATTAACAGTATTTTAAGTGAATATGAGGACAATTTTCCAACATAGATGGCTTACATGTGCCTGTTTAGTAATTAAAAACATAAATGCGGATTGTTACTTAGTTTGATTAAATTGGAGCAAAATCTTTCTTCTTCAAATTACAAAGTAAAATTGCTTGGGATCTTTATTAATTCATTCCTTATCATTAACGGATACAATTCAGAAACACTGTAAGTTTTTACGGTCAAGAAGAGGTACATGAATTATGAATATGATTGGAGGATGTTGTCGTAGAACCTTTTTCATCTCGTGCCACAAAGATTCAATAGGTGACAGATCTGGACTGCTAGAAACCCATTTCAAAAGTGGTACATTATTTTCTTCCATCCATTTTATAGCCTTTTTTGAGGTATGGCACGCTGCAACATCTTGCTGACACACAAAATCTTGGCCGGATGTCAAACATTCTTCCATCACTGCCAAATATTTGTTTGTATCCACATTTCCATCAATAAAATGAAGTTTTCCTACTCCTTTTGATGACATACTGCCCCAGATCATAATGGATGCTGGAAATTTCACTTTCCTTTTTAGACAGTCAACATGGAATGCTTAATTTTTTTGCGAAAAACTCTACTGCGACTGTCACCAACACAAACTTCGAATCGGGCCTCATCACTCCATTGTATTGCACACCATTGTTGAGGTGTCCATTGTCTATGGTATTTAGCCCATCTAATCCGATTTTTCTTTTGCAGTGGAGTTAACAGTGGCTTTTCTTTGGCCTATAAACAAGTTGTGCAACATTAGGGTTTTTACTTCACTTTTTTTATAAAAAAACTTACCTTGCAAGTGTTAAATCCCAGTGTGTCGGCCTCTCTATGAGTTGCGGACCTCGAAATTCTCCTTCCAACAGCGTCACTCTACAGAGCTCTTAATTGTAAATAATTGGCACGCCGGTTTTTCACGATTATTCTTCTTAATGCTCTTCGGTCGGCATTTGTGATATTACTTTTTTATATTTTTTTATACAATACATATATTTACCTATTTGGTTCCTCAAGGAACTTTGTTAGTTCAGGAACTCTAGCTATCAGACAATATAATTGCTGGCTATTTATGAATAACATTATTCGGAAGGAGATGGCCTCTATTTGTATTATTATAGTTAGTATAGTTGAAATCACGAAAGATGACGATTACGTCATTATTTTAGTCTGTAGTAAAGACAAACCTCAGCGATTTGTGAATATGTTTAATGAAGTTTCACATATCTTAGACAGAGACAAACCTAATTTTATTGTCTAAGCAAACTGTATCGCTAATTTGCACGTATCCGACAAAGATAGACGATGTTTTCATGTTGCATGATCGAACATATTTGAAAGATGAATAGTTAGTTTATGTTAAAGCAGGTTAGGTTGTTTTCGAATAATAATTTGGTCTTTGCTGTTAATGCCTTAAGGTGTATTTAATCATAACTGTTTTTTAAAAACAAAAACTCCCCACTAACCTTATTATTAAGGTATCACTTAAACCATGAAATAAAGTGAAAATAAAAATAACCAGTGAAATAACTTAACTTTGCAAAATCATAATATAAATTCATGAGATTGTGATTTTATCATAGACGTCCATTGATTACTTCAGTACAATTTATGGTATCACATAATAGTCATCTTTCGTGATTTTGGCTGTATATTAATTATTATACAAATTCTTCTATTGGTTTTAGGAACAGCAGTATTAAATTATTCAATCAATTATGTTTTGATGTTAGACAAAAAAAAAACCGCTACCGGCCACCAAATGACTCGAGCGAGATCAAACTTGTATTGAAGGCCGTTCACATGTTCTCCTGTCTCCCCTCCAGGCCCTCCAGTGTTGCCAGATCGAAGGCTACGTTGTCAGTATCATCACCTAATTTAATCGTAATTCTCTGTTTTAAAGGGGAATAACGTTTTTGGGCGTTTTCATTCTGCTGGTGAACAAAAGTTATTCAGTGGCAAGTGTTCTTATGTTTACTCACTTTTATACTATATGGGACAATCCGCCCCTGTGCATTCTCATAGGGTTTCTCTAGCACTAGCCTGAGAAATCAATGCGTCGTTTGTCCCCAGTTCTGTAACGAGTCCCAAAGGTCTGAAGTCGTACGAGAGAAAGAATATAACTCCGGAACGATCTCCCGTATTATAACGTCGTTATTTTCTGGAAGAAACTTAACCGGAGTTGTACACATCCAGCAGAACATCCTGAAAACCGCAAAGTTCGCTAATAAAATTAGTTAAGGTGAGATCCCACACCCCGTATGCCTCGTGCACACGTGTTTTATATGGCGGCCGTTACTTCACGCTGCCGTCTAACTTTTCCTAATTATATATAATGAATATAGTTAGTTTGTAGTTCATTTCTGATTTTGGCGTATACCAGGTGGCAGGTGGGTTCATTAGTAAGGTAAGAAGAAAAATTTTGGTCAAATTGGAGCATCATAACATTTGACTTTCACCTCGATTTTATTTATTTTTTCGGCAAGCGGTAGGTTCGCTCATTGGCATTGGTGTGTAGATATGATTTTTTGATTGCCGCCACGATTTGACTTGTTGTGCAGGGTTCTTG